CGTGACTTTACCGAAAGAACCAAGAAGATGATGCATTTATATTCGCGCGATCTAACCCGACCAAAAAATTAACCTTTTATTAGGAATCCACACGGTTGAAACCCTCCGCCGCGCAGCAAGCAAGCAAGCAAATACCACACCAAGGGAACGACTGAACGATTGAACGACCTCTCCGTACGAACAAAAAAAGAGTTGTACAGCCCAGTGGGCCTTACCTGCTGGTTAAATACAAAAAAATAGTTCAATCGTTTTTTTTTTTAGTATGGTTCGTTTGAGAAGAGAGCCAAGGTCAGCCAACCGTCTCTTTTTCGTACGCCGGCTTTTCCATTCAGAGCGAGCCGGAGGAGAAAAAAAACTATCACCAACCGTTGTGCTGTGTTACTTGCAAAAGTTCAACTTCCCCATTTTTCGAGGCGCGTTTCTTCGCTTCTCCGTCGAGGAGCCCGCCGGCGTCGATCCGCCGCTGACGCGTCCGTCCCCTAGGTAGACTCGACCTTAAGGAGGTGGGAACGCGCACCGATCCGACCGCCATCGCGAACGGCACTTTGCCCCGCGATTGCATGTTTTTGCCGCGTGTAATTTTAAATAAATACGACGCGCAAACTGCGAATCCGGGAATTCGCATCGTCAAGTTAGAGGCCGCCAAAGTGCCGTCGCAACAAAGATCCCCGTGGTATAGCTTTCGTTAAGTAGTTTACCCCCATCCCCGCCATTTTTACAACTTGGGAACCTCAATAACAATCGGAATTTAACATAGCCTTAAGGAACGCTTGGATATAGCATTCTTTCCAAATGAAGGCAAACCGCCCATCAGCTGCCAAAAATGCACGCAGGCTTGGGCAGATGAGCGCATGTTACGCAAGTGGCTTTGGGAAGGGGTCCTCCAAGCGTTATGCAACTTGCGTCGCGCTCGGAAACCGGTTTTCGGCGTCTCGGCGAAGACGTTCATCGTCCTGGTCGAAAATAAAAAAAGAGATCTTCTTGGTTCTTTCGGGTAGAAGGGAAATAATAAAATAATACAAATGAAACATAATAAAATACAATTCTCACTAATTCTCACGAGTGAGAATTGTATATATTTTTTTCCCTTCTACGTGACTTTACCAAAAGAACCAAGAAGATGAATCCCTGCAGTCACGAAAGCTTTAAATCGAAAAAAAGAGATATTTATATATATTTTTAAAACTTAACCTGCGGCAGGCCCGTCTGACAGTCCTGCCCGCACGAGCGTCGTCGTACGGCCTTCCCTCGTTTGTGGGATTCAATTTGCGAAAGTGCACAAACGCGTCCTGATTGCCGTAGGTCGGCGTGTAATTAATTATTGGGGTCCCCCCCCCAGCGAGATGTTAACTACCTCGCCTGGTGTGCAGGAGGTCGTGGCTTCGATCCCGACCCTGACGATGCCTGGAGTTTACTGGTGCCGTGATTCTCACAGCCTGTGCCGTAACGTTACCCTACATTTATCCGCGTCCTGATCACCCGTACCAATGCCGTCATTTGTTTCCTAGATGACCGGCAGCTTTGCACCTTTGGGTGGGTGGAGGTGTGGGGGGTTGCATCTTAATTTCATGGCGAGATGTTAATTACCTCGCCTGGTATGCAGGAGGTCGTGGGTTTGATCCTGACCCTGACGCCTGCTGCTGTATATTTGGAGTTTGCGTGTCTCTCTTTCTCTCCGCCCCCGCGGTCGCCATGGATGTTTCTCCGGGTTCTGCGGTTTTTTCCCCTCCACATTAAGAATCAACGTCACGTGTTCCGAGTATTGGATACTGCTATAAATTTCCACGCGATGATGATGATAATGATAAGAAGCCGCTTCGTTGAGCCATCATTTGTGATAGCCAGAGTCGCTTCTGAGAAAAGAGCTACACAAGTCGGTGGGACCTTACCTGTTAAAATAACAAATCAATATTTTAGTTTCATCAATTAATGCCAGGTGATTTGGCGCTCATTTGCATGCAGCCATCTAAATAACAGCGAACAAACGGAACGTCGGGTGCACGAAGCGTACTCCGTAACATCGAATTTCAGAGAGAGAGAGAGAGACATAGGTTTCAGTGTTAACAGTCTTCGCAGCACATTCCCAGCACGCAGACGCCAAAAACACTTTGGTCATAATCATCATCATCGCCATCATCGTCATTGCCAAAATTGAGGTCAGACACGCGTGTAGGCGCGAGTGATTGCATGCCAGAATTGCGTGTACACGCTCGCGTCCGTGTGTTCCGGCCCACGTGCCCCCGTGTGTATGTGTGTGTGTTCACCTCCGCCGTGCCCGTGTGCTCGCGTGAACTCGTGTTGAGCGTGCGAGTTCGTACGGGAGCGCGCGCGCGTGCGTGTGTGCGTTGGCGCGCGCGTGTGTGTGCGTGCACGCCTGCAGCTCCCGTTAAGTGTGTCACTAGGTCTCCGGGCTGGATGCCAAGGCTACCGTGCGTAGCGCCGTGTTTACATGTAGTCCTTGGATGGCTGCCACTTCTGCGCCGATTGCTGGCAGCAGTCAGACCGCCCACCCCCCGCACCACTCTCACTTCTTCTGCGGTTTTGGCACGATTTCTTGGCAGCGTAACGCTCGGCAGGCAGCCCAGTCTCTCCCGAGTCCCCTGCCAATAGAAGGTGGTGGCAGCATTCCGGCACAGATTAGTATGTTATTGACTGCGGCGTTTAGTGAACGTGCCCCCCCCCCCTCTCTCTCTCTCGTTGCCTTGCGCGGAAATCACCTGCAGGAGACGCGCGGGTAGATGTGGCTAGTGGTGGTAATTCTGCGTTCGCGTGGCAAGGGGCCGGTCCGTGCTGCCTGTTCAGCCGGTTCGGAGGGCGGCCACGGTTCATTCCTGGCCACGTGCTTTTGCAACAATGGTACTTTTTATTTTTGTTCTGGTCAACTGTTACTCCCGTCGGTTGATTTCGGCCCTCAAATAATAAGTGGCCGGCTGGTGTTATGGCCACCGCCCGTCGTCGTCGTCGTCCCGAGCCGTCCGGCACCGGCGCACGAAGCTGACTTCATCGTTTCCGATCTCCGCGGTCGACGCGTTCGCTCACTTTTTGGGCTGCATACTCAGTCGTTGGGTCTCGAACGCTGGCCGTCCGCTCGCCGCCCTCTCGGAACAACATGTAATGAGTACCAGCGAGCGTTTGACGACCGCCACCATCATCATCATCGTCATCGTCGTCGACGTAAACAACGTCGACATCGTCCATCATCACGGAGCACAAACGTGGCTGGGTAGGGGCGTGCGATACTGACAGCCAGCGACGGCAATCATCCACGCCGTCAATTTCCTTTCCCTGTCCGACTTGTAGGGCGCTCGCAGCTCCAGCTCGTAGGCTTTTTTTTTGTGTGTCCGTGGCGGCGGTCTATCTTGGACGCAACAGCGAGGAAGAATGCGGTCTTTGTGCGTGCGTGCGTGCTTGTGTGCAATTAAGGAATTGTTAATGTCGCGCGTGTTACAATAGTGGGTAGATGGTTGGGGGGGGGGATTGGGGCGGGGGGCAGTGGAAATAGCTCAAGGGACGGGGCAGCAGGACAATGGCTCGGTTCGTGCGTGGGCCCCGCTCATGCACGTGCGCACGTGTGCGTGTGTGTGTGGCGGGCCGAGTGAGCGCGCGAACGCCGATGATGTTGCTGCGGCCGCCGCCGGATTCCATCGCCCCACCGCCGCGGTTATTTAGGCTTGTGCCTGGGGACGCCCCCCCCCGCCACCGGGCCCCCCCCCCCTCGCTCTTCTGCATTCAGAAGCCACGTCTTGTCATGAGCTTGGGGGCACCGTAGTGGCCAGGAGATGTGATCTCCCTCGACTGGTACGCAGGAGGCCCGTGGGTTCGATCCCGGACCCTGGCGATGCCTGTTGTTGTACGTGATGTCTCTCACTCTCTCTCTCTCTCACCCCCCGTGGTGGTCGTAGCGTGGATTTGACTACGGGTTCATCTGGGTTTGCCCTCATCTTCCTCCACATTTAGAATCGGCACGCTTTAAGATTTGTTGGGCCGCGGCTATAAATTCCCGCGCGATATCGTCAGCGGCCACTGCCACGAGCTTATCGTGTGCGGACAGGTCACCTCAGAAAAATATCGAATATCTCCGCGGGCTTTACCTGGTTAAATAAAATAGTTGAGTTTCTTTTCAAATTCCGGCAGGGCCACGGCAGCGTGCGTGCATAGAGTAGGCTTCTTCTTCTTACCGTTTGTCGAGTAATAATAAAATACTGAAGCATCTTCCGTGCGAACATCGATTTGATCTTTCACCGTTCGGCATGAATGGATGTCGCGATGAGATTGGTAGCGGCCTCTAGTGACACGCAGGGAGTCTCTCAACGCCAATTGCCTACGACGTGTATGCGTTGATTGTACGGGATACTTACGCGCGCGTCGCGGGCTTTCGGTATCGACGCGACGATCTTGCGATACAATAACAACAACAATACAACAACAACAATAATCCATCGTGCACTTGTCCTTGAGCCAATTTCACTGCTCCATCGATTTCTTTATTTATTTTTTTTACTAGGTAAGGCCCCACTGTCAGAAACGACCTGGCTATCACGAATGGCCGCTCGACGAAGCGGCTCATCATCACGTGGGAATTGATAGCAGCAGACAGATAATATGGGGGGTGGGCGTTGGGCGTTGGGGGGGCGGGGGAGGAGATTTTTGACCATACCTCACCACTCTGGTCACTCTACGCACATCACGATCCACCGGCCCAGCATCGTGCCTGTCTCACAACTCACCGCATGTGTTTCATTTGTCCTCATATTTTTTGCATTATGATCATTATTTGAATTGTATTGTGTTGAGGTTTAATCATGGCGCGTTGTTTTTTAAACATTTTTTACCGTCGTCATTGTTTTAATCATCGTTATAATTTGTGCTGCTTATTCACGTGAATTATTTGCGCTCTTACAAAAATAACGATTAATTATTATTACTACGACTACTATTATTATTATCATCATGCCCTCTGTGTTTCGGCACTTACACTGAACTGTTGTCCTTTTCAACAGCCCCTTCGCGTTAAATCCTTTGGATCCGCTCATTTTGCCACGATTCAGAAGGTTAGTGCAGCTCAGGACGCGCCCCCCCTCGCAGAGCTAAACGACATGCGGCACCGCTACGTGGCGGTGTGAGAGAAGTTCACCACGCACACGCACGCGCACACACGGGTGCACACGGCACGGTCGAGCGTAATATGTATTTGCCGTAATAGAGGTTTCTCTTTTGGGTTGGATCGCGTAAATATAACTGTGTCCTTAAACCCGCCACCACCATCCGACACGGCCAAATCAGTCAGGTTCGTCACGTGAACAGAACGTGCCAATTCGTTACCTAGTTCAGCAGAGTAAACCCACAACATTTACAATTTGAGCACAATCTATCCTTAGTGGAGGTTTTTTGTGTTAGATCGCGTAAGTAAATAAATGTGTCGTGAAACCCGCCACCACCCGACACAGCCAACTGGCAAGGGTTGTCACGTAAACAGAACGTGGCCAATTCGTCCCTAGCACAGCACTAGTGTATAGTGTAGTGTATAGTGTAGTGTATATTGTAGTGTAGTATACTAGTACAGCACTAACCGGTGTGTTGGAGAGCCAAGCCACAACATTTACATTCCGAGTACGACGTTTCGCCAGTAATTACAATCAGCTTCATCAGGCGACAGTCAGATGTGAAACAGGTGGACTTCTCCACAAATCTGGCTGTCGCCTGAAGAAGCTAGCTGGAACTGCTGGCGAAACGTCGTACTCGGATTGTAAATGTTGTGGCTTGGCTCTCCAGCACAATCTCTATATTCCTACCAGGTGCCAGTGGCACTGCTGCTGTTGAAAGTGGTGCAGGTATCACCCCGAGAAAAGTTTTCCGGTAATTCTCCGAATTGTAAGACACTCCTTTAAGTAACAAGCAGTGCGCCCGCACCACACCATGCGCCGCCGTTACTGTCCGCCCCACGCCATATAAAAGTTACAAAAACCCCGGTTACGTATAAGTACACTGTCACCCGGAATGATGTGACGCGTTCTCTTCCACCGTGCGCTGTCAAGCGAAAGTTCGTGGTGGTGCGTCTTGTAATCCGGAGCCTGCGGTTATATCGGAGCCGACGCAGGCGCCCTCAGATCTCCGAGCCAGCCATCGGCAGAGGTCGCAAACGGGTTTTGATTCCTTACCCGTACCCGTACCCGGCCGCACCAGGGTCGCAAATGGGTACCCGTACCCGTACCAGGCCGGGTACGGGTACCCGTTCCCTACCCGTACCCTACCCGAAATGAGTGACAAACGGTGAATCACCAGTGACTCACGGCCTACCCGTACCCGTACCCGGCCGCACCAGGGTCACAAACGGGTACCCGTACCTGGCCGGGTACGGGTAGCCGAGTATCGGGCAGGGTACGGGTATCGGGTACCCGGTTGCGACCTCTGGCCATCGGTGATCGTCAATCCGTCGGGCTCTCCAGCCAGCCTAGAGAGGTCATTTTGCTCGCCCCTCGGTCCCCACAATCCTGTCGCGGTGAACGTCTCTCTCAAATGTTATCGAAATGAGCTCGACACGTTTGCCAATAACACCGCGGCCTTAAAATAATAGATATATATATAAATTGATAGCGGGTAACGTCACGTAACAAAAATCTATCGGGTGATTGACACGCCGGGAATATTCTCTGCCGAGTGGGGATGAGCGTGCGTGCGCCCTCCGATATTGGGTGAGAGAGGACTCTGGAAGTAGTTCTGCAGTGTCATCTTCAGCAGGAGGAGGGGGGCAGCAGTGGGGGGGAGGGGGGGAGCATTCCCTGTCACAGCGCGAGTTACGCAGTGCTGAGGCCATAAGCACTCCGGATTGGCGTTTGGTTGATTTCCGATCACGATTTCGATACGGCAGTTGGGATTTAATCATCGCTGGGGGGCAGGGGGGGGGGTTAAACGCGCCGGCTGCAACGCACACAGCCAATGAACGCAGCCTCCTTCGCGAGCTTCTTACGGATGCCCGATTTTTTGCGCGTCGCGTAACCCCGCGGCCTTCCTGGATGAGTAAGTAAACTATCGTGATTATTGTTATAATGATGATGATGATGAGACATTTCAATTGAACGTCGTCCAAAAAAATCCCCAGATACACTCCGACCTCAGATGGCCAACCGCACACAATCCCAGGGACACCGCTTGGCAGTGCCCCCCCCACCCTCATTTCCAGCGGGGAAGAGACGTCACTAGTGTCGGGCGTTGATCGACGCAGACCCCCCCCACTGCCCCCCCACCACCCTGCCCCCCCCCTACTCCTCCTCCTCCACTCTCATCGTATTGAACGCTCGATGCGGAGAATCCCCCGTTAGTTACTCCTCGCACTCGGCGACGGTGCCAGCATGTGTTTCCGAACAGCGCCGTGCCACGTTTGAGCGCTTTGGGGGGGTTCTAAATCTAGGGGCGTCGCCCGCCCCCCTTCCCCCTCGATCGTTCTTCTGAACGCCTGAGCTCGTAGGAGACATTTACAGTCATCTCACACTCGCGATCGCTCCGTCCGCGAGTGCCCGTGTGTGTCTTATTTTGCGTTTTGTTGACATCATTTGAGCCTAACACGGAAGGGTTAACCGCCCGCTGTACACGCTCACACACACACACACACGGAGGCAAATAGGAATGTTTATTTATTATACTGGAGGAATCCGATGAGCTATGAAGCTTTTTTATCCCCCACAGATGTCCGGCAGGACGTCATCAAATATATACGCGCGCAAAACACGCGCACGCACACACGCGCGCGCAAAGAATAAAGATGGTTCGGGCGCTCGAGCAAACGCGGTAGAGGGCCTTGACCTGCTCGCGCGTTTTATTAATCGCCGTTTCAAATGGAGAGCAACGCAGAGGCGAGCGCCATTCACGGCGCGTGACCTCGCCAAGTCGGAGCAGCGACGGGCAGGTCGGAATCGCGGCAGTAGACGCATCGAACGGGGCGATACACGCACGCGGGCTGGAGGGGGGGGCACAAAAGACGATGATCCCCCGTATAGCCACGTGTTGTGTTGGGTCAAGTGTTACGGAGGCCGGCAGTTCATGTTGCCTAGAGCACGCCCGGCTGCCTCCGTCTCCCCGGTGATGTTCACACACGCGCGCGCGCACACTGCCTCATCTGAGGCTGAGTCGACCTAGGGGAGGACCCAGGGCCGGTTTTGATATCTCTCGCCACTGACTGAAGTCACGAGGCACAAAGCAAGGCTGCTCCCCATACACCTACACGATGTTGAATTGAATACATCACGTGTTAAACTGCAACTGCTAATATGTTTGCAAATGTTTTATTCACTATGAACCTAGTTACTGGCCACCGGCTAACATCGGTGGCCGGGTGATCACGTAAGCAAATCGGCACTACCCAGCGTGGTGAAGTATGGTCAAAGAAACCCCCTTGATAGATTCTGTGTGAGGGGCATGCAAGAGGCCTTCATTCGGATGTACATTTACAAAGGGCTGAAAATGTAATTCGTTGCAATTTCAAGCGCCGAAACCTGATATTTCATGTAATAATAATACGACTCAAAAGTCAGGGTAATGAAAAGGTTGATATCTTTTTTTACCTTACGATAATAATAGTAATAAAATGAAGGTTTTTTTTTTAGGGCCGATAAAGTTAAACGAAACTGGCAAGTGCTTAACCTTTCGCGAGGTGTAATACAGGTTGGCTGGGAAAACCATTTAGTAACGTGGCACTGTGCCAAGTTTCACTGTTTAAGCAAACAGGTCAATCATACCGAGCCTGGCTCCTTTATCTACCGAGCCTGGTGAGAAGTCACGAGACGTGCACCATCACCTTTACAAACGCAGGGGTGTTACATTCAAGCACGAGGACGAACCAATTATTTTTCCACAACTGGAAAGTAAACAAAGAAACTGAACAACTTTTTACTTGACCAGGTAAGGCCCCACTGAGATACGTAGCTTCTTTTTCAGAAGCGGACATGGCTATATCACGAATGATTGCTCAACCAAGTGGGGCCTTATCATCATCATCACGTGGACATTTATAGCAGCCAAATACTCTAAACGCGTGATCTCGATTCTAAATGTGGAGTGGAAAAAACCGGAGGGCCTGGAGAAAAAAACCAAGCGACTACGGGGAGAAAGAGAGAGCAAGTGAGGCACGCAAACTCCAAATATACAGCAGCAGGCGTCAGGGTCGGGAACGAACCCACGACCTCCTGTATACCAGGCGAGGTAGTTAACATCTCCCAGCCACCGTGATGATGATGAGAGAGAGAGAGGCACGCAAACTCCAAATACACAGCAGCAGGCGTCAGTGTCGGGATCGAACACACGACCTCCTGTATACCAGGCGAGGTAGTTAACATCTCCCAGCCACCGTGGTGATGATGATGAGAGAGAGACACGGAAACTCCAAATATACAGCAGCAGGCGTCAGTATCGGGATCGAACCCACGACCTCCTGCATACCAGGCGAGGTAGTTAACATCTCCTAGCCACCATGATGATTAAAGAGAGACACGCAAACTCCAAATACACAGCAGCAGGCGTCAGGGTCAGGATCTAACCCACGACCTCCTGCACACCCTTCGAGGTAGTTAACATTTCCTAGCCACCGTGATGATGAAAGAGAGACACGCAAACTCCAAATACACAGCAGCAGGCGTCAGGGTCAGGATCAAACCCACGATCTCCTGCATACCAGGCGAGGTAGTTAATATCTCCCAGCCACCGTGATGATGATGAGAGAGAGACACGGAAACTCCAAATACACAGCAGCAGGCGTCAGCGTCAGGATCAAACCCACGATCTCCTGCATACCAGGCGAGGTAGTTAACATCTCACCATGAAAGTAAGACGCACCCCCCACACCTTCACCCACCCTAGGGGGCAAAGCTACCGGTCATCTAGGAAACAAATGAGGGCATTGGTACGGGTGATCAGCACGCGGGTAAATGTAGTAGAGGAACGTTACGGCACAGACTGTGAGAATCACGGCACCAGCCGCTGGGTCACTACGCTTGCTGCTGGGTCCGTTCTGGGTGTCCACGTTCAACTAAAAAAAATCTAAATATTTATAACTTTCCAT